TTGCTCGATTTCTCGATTTTTCGTTCTATGAATTTCTGGATCTTTATTTTTCTGTTTCTCGATTTCTTGATTTTCTTCGATCTCTCCATTTTTTGAGTTTTGGATTTCCCAATTTTTCGATATTTCGATTTCTCGATTTTTCGGTTTCTCGAATTTTTGAGTTTTCGATTTTCCAATTTTTCAAATTTTTGCATTTTTCTTTAATTTCTTTATTTTTCAACTTTCCGATTTTTCGATTTCTCAGTTTTTCATGTTTTCGATTTCTTGATTCTCCATTTTTTTGGATTTCTCGATTTTTAAATTTTTAGATACATATTTAAGTTTTTTGAATTTCCGATATTGCGATTTTTCAATTTCCCAATTTTTTTTTAACTTTTCCCGATTTATATATTTTTCTATTTCTGATTTTCTCCATTTTTGGATATCTCAATTACCCGAGTTTTCGATTTTTGGACATTTCGCTTTTTCGATTTACGAATTTCTTAATTTTTCGGCTTTTATTTCCTGGTTTTCCAATTTTTGATTTGTCCATTTTTCGCCTTTCCAGCTTTTCGATATCCACAGTTTTCGATTTCATAGTGTTTCTGTTTTTCAATTTTACTAAAATTTTCGGTATTTCAATTTCTCGATTTCTCGACTTTCCATTTTTCGATTTTTGGTCTTTCGGGTTTTCGATTTCTCCAACTTTCGTGCCCCCCGGTATTTCAATTGTTAAATATTTCACTTTTTTGATTTTTCGATATTGCCATTTTCCGGTTTCTAGATTTCTCAGTTTTTCGATCTCTTAATTTCCCAGTTTCTCAATCTCTTGATTTCTCGATTTCTATATTTCTCTATTTCTCAATTTTTCCACTTTTCAACTTCTCTCGATTTCGATTTTTCTTTTCTTCGTTTTTACTTCCCGAGCGTAAGCAAAGGAAGTATTGTAATCGAGTCCGTCGGCCGACTCTCTACTTTTACGTTTTCTCGATCTTTCATGACCCCTAGAAGACGAAGAAATAGGTCTCCCATTTCCGTCTGTCTGTCCGTCCGTCTGTCCGTCCGTCTGTCCGTCCGTCTGTCCGTCTGTTGTCCCGGATTTTATTAGACAGATAATCTCCGAAAGTACTCGACCGATTGTTGTGAAATTTTGTACTTATATTAAGAATATCATGTAGATGGTAAAACGCTAACCAAAATTTGTCTAATCATCCCCACCACTAATGCGATGACGTCACTTCAAAATTGTACATAGTAAATGGGTTTTCAATTGTATAAAATAACATAGTCCTACACATGTAGTTTACAACTCTGAATCGACTTTTCACCCGAAACGTCCAGATTTTTGGAAAAAAAATCAAAATTATAAAACAACATTTTGAAATTTAATTTTTAATCTGCTAACCAGAATGCTTTGAAATGTTGCAGTTGTTTTAAGGAGTCATTTAAGCATCATAAATCTTTAGTCAAAAAATATTTGCTTATCCCCTCCAAAAACTTGATGACGTCAGCTCAAAAGTTTGTGGAATAAATCATATCTAAAATGTACAAAATATGATGAGTCTGTACTTGTGATCTATCACTCCATTCATATTTTTTGGATTTGCATATACAGGGTGACTCAAAAAAATTAATGAATGCGTAAATATATTTTATTGATTTAATCAGGAACTACAAAACCGAATGCTTTGAAATCTTGCAGATGTTTTAAGGTTATAAAGAGCATAATAAATGTTTAGTCAAAATATATTTGCTTATCCCCTCCAAAAAATTAATGACGTCAGCTCGAAAGTTTGCCGAATAAATCCTATCTAAACTGTAAAAATATGATGAGTCTGTACTTGTAATTTATCACTCCATTCATATTTTTTGGATTTGCATATACAGGGTGACTCAAAAAAATTAATGAATGCGTAAATATATTTTATTGATTTAATCAGGAACTACAAAACCGAATGCTTTGAAATCTTGCAGATGTTTTAAGGTTATAAAGAGCATAATAAATGTTTAGTCAAAATATATTTGCTTATCCCCTCCAAAAAATTGATGACGTCAGCTCGAAAGTTTGCCGAATAAATCCTATCTAAACTGTACAAAATATGATGAGTCTGTACTTGTGATTTATCACTCCATTGATTTTTTTTGGATTTGCATATACAGGGTGACTCAAAAAAATTAATGAATGCGTAAATTTATTTTATTGATTTACTCAGGAACTACAAAACCGAATTCTTTGAAATCCACTGCGAAAAAAAAACATAATAAGCATGCAGTCGTCACGTTTCCGACAGCGAGGGAAGTACTGTCTAAACTCTTTAGACCAATTTTTTCGATTTTCCAAGATTTGATTTTTTTCAGTTTTTTGCTTTTTTAGCGTCTTTAGTATTTTTTTTATGTTATTTTAGTCGCTTTGTTATAACCTTCTTGTTTCTTTTTTTGTTGCGTTTTTAACCTCTTTTTGTTGCTTTGTTGCCTTTTTACCGTTTTCAGACTTTTTTGATTTTCCTTTTTGTTGTTTTTCCTGTTACATTTTTTTTGCCTTTTTTGTCGCTTTTCATGTCCTTTTTCTTTTGTTCTCTTTGTATTGACTCTCTTTTTTACCGGTTCTTCGTTTTTTAGCTTTTTTTTTTGCTTTAGTTTTTGTTGTTCTTTTTTGGCCTTTTATCACCTTTTTCGTTTTTTTTTGCTAATTTTTTTGGTTTTTAGTCGCTGTGTTACAATTTTTTTTTTTTTTGGCGCATTTTGTGTCCCTTTTTCTATGGTCCATATGGTCTGTCGTTCTTTTTTTGACTTTTTTCCTTTTTTTTACTTCCTTTTTTGACTGATTTTTTCATCTTTTGCTATGGGCTTTTTCGTCTTTTTTTCATTATAGCCTTTTTATTACTTTTTTATCACCTTTTTTTGCACTTTTTGTTACGTTTTTTTTTTAATTTCTTGTCCTATTTTTTGACTCTTCTTTTCTGATGACTTTTTTTGGCTCTTTTTTTACGCGCCTTTTTCTTGTGACCTTTTTTATCTTTTTTTTTGTTTTTTGTTTAATCGCTTTGTTTTAGAATTTTTATTCCATTATTCCTATTGGTCCCTTTGTTGCCGCATTTTTTTTGTCTTTTTCTTGTCGCCCTTTTATTTGTCACTTTTTCTTGTTGCCTTTTTTGGTACGTTTATTTTTTTTTATCCCTTGTTCTCTTGGTTTCCACGCTGTTTTCGATCTTTTTTTCGTCTTTTTTACTCTTTTTTTGAGACAGTTTTTACCTTCTTTTTGCACCTTTTTTGTGGCTTTTTTTAGCGCCTTTTTCTTATGACCTTATTTGTGAATGTTTTTATCACTTTTTTGACTATTTTTTCCCTTTTTGTTGTCTTTTTCTTGTCGCCTTTATTTTTCCCCTTTTTTTTCCTTACCTTCTTTTGTTTTTGTCACTTTTCTTAACTCATTGACATATTTATGACGATTGATTTTCTTGTCTTTTTCTTGTTCCTTACATGCTGACGTTCTTTTTTTTGACTTTTTTTGTTTTTTAAAATCCTGTTTTTGTTGAACTTTTTCGTTCTTTTCTAATGGCCTTTTTTATCACTTATATTTTGTCACTTTTTTGTAGGTTTTTGTAATTTTTTTCACACAGTCTTTTATTTGCTACAAAAACGTCTACAAAAAGGGACATTGTTAGGTATTTTTTTTGCGCTTTTTAAGCGGCTTTATCTTATGACTTTCTTTGTAACTTTTTTGTAGTTTTTGGTCGCTTTTGTTGTTTTCTTTTAATCGACTTGTCTGTTTTTTTGGCCCCCTTTTTTGTACTCTTTTTTTTTGTCACTTTTTTGGCACCTTATTTTTGACGCTTTTGTTTTTGTCGCCATTTTCTTTAACGCTCTTTTTTTATTTTTTTTATTACCTTTTTTATGGCGCATTAATTTTCTTTTTTTTTGGTTTTTTATTTTCTTTGCTTTGACAAAATGCCTTTTTTGCCCCTTTTTGTTTTTTTACATTCCTTTTTTAGTTACATTTTTTTTTCCACTTTTTAATCGGCTTTTTTCTCGCGCTTTTCTTATAGCTTTCTTTGTCATTATTTTGTCACATTGTATTTGTTCATTTTTTGTTGTTTTTTGTCTTGTCTTTTTGTTTTGTTTTTTCCGCGTGTTAGGCCTATTGAAGGCGTTTTTTTTTTGGATTTTTTGTCGCGTTTGGTGCTTTTTTTGATTTTTTGATTTCCCATTTTGATTCAATGTTTTCGTCTTTTTTGTGGCCTTTGTTTGCCGCCTTTTTTCTATGACCTTCTCTGCCTTTTTTTCACTTTTTTGTAGCATTGTTTTATTTTTTTGACACTTCTTTGTCTTTTTTACACCTTTATTGACACTTCTGTTGTCGCTATGAAGAGTGTTTTGAATTATTTCACATGATGTAAAATTACGATTTCATAATTCGTCAACATTTTCAGTTGATGACCTATAAACAATATAGATTTAAGGTGATGTTGATTTGAGTTTTCCTCTTATTTTTAGGTGATGAAGACGCTTTTCAAGTTTTTGGCACATATCACCCTGTATACTGCTTTATATCAATTATAATACGAATTAAGTTTGCTAAATTTTAATATTTCAACCCACTCTCGCCGCTGAATCTGAATATACTACATGATGTAAAAAGAAACTGAAGATGCCATTCGAATACAATAGTTTATTACCTTAACTTATAAACCTCAGAATCAAGTTTTATAAATTATATAAAAATTTGGATTTGCTAGATTGTGCTTTCAAAATGAGGTAAGTTCTGTCTACATAATTTTAGACAATTTTATAAGATTCATGATGCACTTTAAGAAAAACTTGAGACATAAAAATAGTAGCTTCAGGTTCTTGTTCCATGCGCTTTTAGTATTTTTGAATGTTTTTGTTGTGCAAAATCGGCCCCTTGCGGTTCTCCATGTGAAACGCCACTGCCTCTCGTCCTGTAGATCTCGTCTTAGCCCAGCTTCGAACCTCTCCCCTGCCGCCCTCTAGATGCCGCTGCCGTCGTGCAAATGGCAGCTCTGACGTCACAATCGGGGACTAGAATCGTTACCGCAAGGGCACCGGCGATTCTCGCACCGCACCCAAGCAGGAAAGCGAGAAGAAAATCGCGTGAAAAGACGTTCGAGTGCGTTTTAGGTGCGTGAAAAGTGCGTCCATCGCATGTTCCGTGCACGAAACAGCCTCACATGTTCATAATCAGTGTCCGAGTGAATTTGTATGGGTGTAAGCGGATGTATTCGTGATTTTGTGACGACCATAGGATAGTATAGCCAGTAGTGGATCGGGACAGCCGAGGCCGATTGGAAAAGTAAGTGTCGGCGGCGGCGCCGCCCGCGGCCCCCGGCCGCCCCCAGCCGCCGCCAAAGCCCGAACCAGGCCCTCGAACGCCGAGCAGGTGCAGCGACTGTCATGGCGGCTGTCATTTATTTTCGTTCGCGCGGAGCATCGGCGAGAGGCGGCGGCCGTCGCCGCCGCCGCCGCGGCCGGCGCCCCCGGGCCCCGAGCGTAGGCGTGTCCGCGGGGCCCCGCTCCGCCGCCGCGGGAATTTCGAATCGGTGTTTACGTTATTGGGTCGGGAACATCTGCAAGTGTAAATGAATTACGAAGCGTGACGTTGGCGCGTTTTTAAATAATTTATGACGGTGTGCGCGACCGCAAAATTGCGATAAAATCGGGAAATTGACGAGGGGCCGTCGGGGGCGCGCGGAGGGGCTTCCGGGGTGCTTCCGCTGGAAATACGGGCTGACTCAATGCACGCTCTGATCAATTTTATTGTTTGTGTTGGCGAGTAGGCGCTGTTTGGATGACGTTTTGACAACTTTCGTTGGGGCCGTTATCTATGATTACTGAGAGGATTTTATTTTTGTTAGGTTGGTGGCTTTTCAGCCGAGAAATAACGTCAGTGATGGATGGACGCGGACTAGACACTCAATTTCTAAACAATCGCACGACAATCGACCATGTTACCGTTTTGACGTTGTTCTTTTGCTTTAAATGACAGATAACATAACCTTTACGTGAACATTTATCCGGCGGTTCTATTACGGTACGAGCGGATCCACGTAGCACTTGTCCAAACAGTCGCTGATTAATTCGACTTTTTGCACGGGAGCCACCTTTACTTTTTTTAGTAAATGTTCCCAAACTTTTCGACAAAAACACCCCAGATTAGATTTATTTTGTTGCGCACGTCACTTTAACTAATCATTTATTAAACACAATTGAAGACAAAATTAAAGCCAAAGCGAAAAATAAATCAGCCAAAGCACGAAAAACCGCTTGCCCTAGATTAAAATAATCATTTATTAAACGCAAACTATTTTTAGAATGTATAGGAAATGAAACGAAATTAACAATTTATAAACGAAACTTTATTATTATTATTATTATTTACAATGTTTATTTTTAATTCTATATATGATATATGTAGTTAATGAGCGGATTTATTGCGTCCAAGTTAATAACAATTTAGACTATATCTTTAGACGAACTATACATATGTATAGACAAAACATTCAAAGGTAAGTATTTTCAACTTGATAAACTCTTTTCGACATCATTTCGACACTTTAAAATTATCAATTGTTTCCGTCAGTCTGTCTGACTGCCGTCCGGGTTTTTATTAGACAGATTATCTCCAAAAGTACTGAGTCGATTGTTGTCAAATTTTGTATTTATATTAAGAATATCATGTAGATGGTAAAAACTAACCAAAAAATGTATTTACTCATCGCCCCTAAAAAATTTGATGACGTCACCTCAAAATAGTGCTGAATAAATCGTACCTTAAATATGCTATGATAAGCCTATAATTGTGATTTATCACTGCATTAATATATTTTTTAATTTGCTCATACAGGATGTTTCAAAAAAATTAATGACTCAGTTGTTAAAAAATAAAGATCCAATCAGATTTAGGAATTTAACTCGTTATTGTGGAAATTTGCAATTTAATACCTTTTAAATTTAACAAGTTTTTACAAGTTTAATGGGAGCAAAATCGGTCTTATTTTAGCAAGTGCTAGCCCCGCCCACCCGCTCCATAATTTTTCAGAGGGTATGACATTGGCCAAAATCAGTCTTATCTGAACAAATACTGGCCCCAACCACCCACCCACCCGTATTTTCTCAGAGTATATGGCGTTTGCCACAATCAGTCTTACCTGAGCAAATTTTAGCCCCACCCACCCACCCGTATTTTCTCAGAGAATATGGCGTTTGCCAAAATCAGTCTTATCTGAGCAAGTACTAACCCCGCCCACCCACCCTCTGTTTTTCTCAAGGATATGGCGTTTGCCAAAATCAGTCTTATCTGAGCAAGTACTAGCCCCGCCCACCCACCCCTATTTTCTCAGAGAATATGTTATTTGCCAAAATAAGACTTATCTTAGCAAGTACTACCTTCTGAGAAAATAAAGGGCGGGTGGGCGGGATTAGTACTTGCTAACATAAGTCTTATTTTGGCAGATGATACATCCTCTGAGAAAATAGGGGGCGGGTGGGTGGGGCTAGAACTTGGTAAGATAAGACTGAATAAGACTGATGTTGGCAAATAACAAACCCTCTGGGAAAATAGGGGGGGGGGGTCCTAGTACTTATTAAGAGAAAACTGATTTTGCCTCTAATAATGTTGTAAAGACTTGCGAAATTTAAAGATGTTAAATTGCAAATTTCCATTGTAATGAGTTCAATTCCTAAATCTACCCGAAAAGTGCAAAATATGATGATTTTTACTTCCCGAACGTAAGCGAAGGAAGTATTGTAATCGAGTCCGTCGGCCGACTCTCTACTTTTACGTTTTCTCGACCTTTCATGGCCCCTACAGGACGAAGAAATAGGTCTCCCGTTTCTGCCTGTCTGCCGTCACGGTTTTTATTAGACAGATAATTTCCGAAAGTTCTGGACCGACTGTTGTCAAATTTTGTATTTATATTAGGAATATCATGTAGATGGTAACACGCTAACCAAAATTTCTCTAATCATCCCCACCACAAATGCGATGACGTCACCTCGAAATTGTACATAGCAAATGGCTTTTAAATTTTTTTACCTGAAACATCCAGATTTTTGAAAAAAAAAATCAGAATTATAAAACAATATTTTGCAATTTAACTTTGAATCTGCCAAACCGAATGATTTGAAATCTTGCAGATGTTTTAAGGTTATAAAGAGCATAATGAATTTTTAGTCAAAATATGTATATTTGCTTATCCCCTCAGAAAAATTGATGACGTCAGCTCAAAATAGTGCTGAATAAATCCTGTCTTAAATATGCAAAATATGATGAGCCTATAGTTGTCATTTATCACTGTGTTAATATTTTTTTAAATTGCTTATATAGGGTGTTTCAAAAAAATTAATGACTGAGTTGTTAAATAAACATCCAATCAAATTTAGGAATTTAACTCGTTACAGTGAAAATTTATAATTTAACACTTTTTTAATTTAACATGTTTTTACAAGTTTAATAGGGGCAAAATCAGTCTTATTTTAGCGTGTGTTAGCCCCGCCCACGTGCCTTATATTTTCTAAGAGGGTATGACATTGGCCAAAACAAAATCAGTCTTATCTTAGCAAGTACTAGCCCCACCCACCCACCCGTATTTTCTCAGAGTATATGGCGTTTGCCAAAATCAGTCTTATCTGAGCAAATACTAGCCCCACCCACCCACCCGTATTTTCTCAGAGAATATGTCATTTGCCAAAATAAGACTTATCTTAGCAAGTACTACCCTCTGAGAAAATAATGGGTGGGTGGGCGGGATTAATACTTGCTAAGATAAGACTTATTTCGGCAGATGATATATCCTCTGAGAAAATAGGGGGCGGGTGGGTGGGGCTAGAACTTGGTAAGATAAGATTGATTTTGGCAAATCACATACCTTCTAAGAAAGGAAAGGGTGGGTGGGCGGGGTTAGTACTTGCTAAGATAAGACTTATTTCATCAAATGACAAACCCTCTGGGAAAATAGGAGGTGGGTGGGCGGGCGTAGAATTTGTTAAGAGAAAACTGATTTTGCCCCTAATAGTCTTGTAAAAACTTGCGAAAATTAAAGATGTTAAATTGCAAATTTCCATTGTAACGAGTTAAACTCCTAAATCTACCCGAAATGAGCAAAATATGATGATTTTTACTTCCCGAGCATAGGCGAAGGAAGTATTGTAATCGAGTCCGTCGGCCGACTCTCTACTTTTACGTTTTCTCGACCTTTCATGGCCCCTACAGGATGAAGAAATAGGTCTCCTGTGCTAGCCCCGCCCACCTGCCCCATATTTTCTCAGAGGGTATGACATTGGCTAAAACAAAATCAGTCTTATCTTAGCAAGGACTAGCCCCACCCACCCACCCGTATTTTTTCAGAGTATATGGCGTTTACCAAAATCAGTCTTATCTGAGCATGTACTAGCCCCGCCCACCCACCCCTTTTTTCTCAGAGAATATGGCATTTGCCAAAATTAGTCTTATCTGAGCAAGTACTTTCCCCACCCACCCACTCGTATTTTCTCAGAGTATATGGCGTTTGCCAAAATCAGTCTTATCTGAGCAAATACTAGCCCCACCCACCCACCTACCCCTATTTTCTCAGAGAATATGTCATTTGCCAAAATAAGACTTATCTTAGCAAATACTACCCTCTGAGAAAATAATGGGTGGGTGGGCGGGGTTAGTACTTGCTAAGATAAGACTCATTTCGGCAGATGACATATCCTCTGAGAAAATAGGGGGCGGGTGGGTGAGTCTAGAACTTGGTAAGATAGGACTGATTTTGGCAAATGACATACCTTCTAAGAAAGGAAAGGGTGGGGGGCGGGGTTAGTACTTGCTAAGATAAGACTTATTTCATCAAATGACAAACCCTCTGGGAAAATAGGAGGTGGGTGGGCGGGCGTAGAATTTGTTAAGAAAAAACTAATTTTGCCCCTAATAGTTTTGTAAAAACTTGCGAAAATTATAGATGTTAAATTGAAAATTTCTATTGTAACGAGTTAAACTCCTAAATCTACCCGAAATGTGCAAAATATGATGATTTTTTCTTCCCGAGCATAGGCGAAGGAAGTATTGTAATCGAGTCCGTCGGCCGACTCTCTATTTTTACGTTTTCTCGACCTTTCATGGCCCCTACAGGACGAAGAAATAGATCTCCTGTGCTAGCCCCGCCCACCTGCCCCATATTTTCTCAGAGTATATGGCGTTTACCAAAATCAGTCTTATTTGAGCATGTACTAGCCCCGCCCACCCACCCCTTTTTTCTCAGAGAATATGGCGTTTGCCAAAATCAGTCTTATATGAGCAAGTACTGGCCCCAC